TTGTGAAAAAAGAAAAAAAAAGACTTAGTGAGGAAGAGAGAGTAAAATAAGTAAACAAAATAAAATTCTATTCAAATTTTACGTTCAAGGTTTAAAATTGTCAGTTTAAAAAGAAAATTCCTTTTCCTTGTACATTAATTAAAATTGAGCTAATCTCGAGTGCGGCTTTTGGAAATTTTATTTCCCGTTTCTCCAAAGAAACATACTGCTGTACAGTCTTGTGCAGAGAGAAAGATGTACCAAGACAAGCCAGATATGGTTAACTAATTGCATACCACAAGTCAAATACTGTATTTACATTTTCTTACCCACCCATTCAAATGTTCATGAACAATTTGTTTAAATCCTTGAGCTGGTACGATCAATCAATTTCATCACTTTATATAGATACAGATTAAAGTATAATTAGCCTTAAAAAGGCATTTGAATTGAAAGCCTTGATTGCTTATCTACTGCATTGAATTAGAAGACACAAGACTGAATTTCACTGCTGGATAAGGTGAAACATTAACCACAACTCATCTAGATAAGACATTTCGACTAGGATAAGCATGGCATTCATCCAGGACCCAATCTAGCATAAGACAAACTACTGCTGTCAAAAGCCATTAAAAAAAAAAAAAAAAAAAAAAAAAAAAAAAAAAAAAGAGTTGGACATTAGCTTATGCCTTGAAGACATGAAAAAAATAAAGTTGGAAGTTTATAAATATTCCAATCCTTCATTGAATTTAAAAGGGAATATTCACATGTGTGGGGGGTGAGGGAGATGGAGGGGCTTCAAAAGTTCCAACATTTTAATTTTGTTCATTCTTATTCAGTTATTGCATTTCATGTCAATAAATCTGCCATCAGAAAATAAAGTTTATCAGCTGAACTCTTCCAGTATACGTGTAATCAAAACTAATGTGGTAATGAGGCCAACTTAAGTCGGGAGGGGGCGGAAAAAAAAAAAGAAAAAAAAAAAGGAAATTGACAACATTTTACCAGTATCAGTGTTGAGATGCAGTAACAATGCACATCAACGATAAAGCTTTAGAAAAATAGTTCAGATTCATTAAATTGTATGTACAAAATAGTGACTGCATTGAAAAGAAAAAGAAAAAAAAAGCACAATGTGGGACGAGAAATAACAAGACATTATCACCACTGCGGATAGGAACATTCTTAGAGATGGGATGGGGGAGTGGTATATTTCTATGAATTTTTTTTTTTCAAAAAACCTTTAATCGGGTATTTTCTAATACCAGTGGCAATACATCAGGAGATATTTTGAGTTAATTACAATCAGAAACAAATTTACAAAGAAATCCATATTGGGAAAAAAAAAAAAAAAAAAAAAAAAAAAGCAAAAACTAGTTTATTTGGCTGCTAAATTATATTTAAGTACAGATTCTATTCTCATGTGTATGTACATGTGTCGCTCCAACCAGACAAACAAGGTCAACTGTCAGATGTATTTCTATTCCTGATAGATATTTTACACAACTGGGTTACCAAGTATCATAAGGTTCTAAGGTCTAACAAGTAATTATTATCAATACAACATGACATATAAGGTAATATGTGAAAGAAAAAAAATCATTTTTCAATGTAGGCAGTTGTATCATAGATATTTAGCTTTTCAAGTACATACCAAATTGTGACAATAAACTTCTGCAAATGCCTTGCAACATACAGTCCAGTATGAAATGACATGGAAAAATGACTTCAATATAAAAGCCATGATTATCCCCCTTGACAAAAAAATTAAACAAAAAAAAAATATCTAGCTGATTGAGTGATCATTTTGTAGACCTTATAAAACATCTTTCAGATCATTTATTAGGATGGATTTGAGTTTTCTGTTAAAATTTAAATTTACTTAAAAAACTGACAGATATATAAAGCAAAAAAAAAACTTGATTAAAAAAAGAAAATCTAACTAAAGATGGAAACAATGTTAAATTTTCAGTTTACAATGCACACACTTGCAACCAATATTATTTGACAGATGAAACTCACAAGTGATTGTCTGGAGAGTTCTAAAAAGAAACTTACAAACAGAGAAGAAAACAGAACATTAAGTTGTAACATTAAGACAAGATCATTTCTTGTTTGTTTTATACTTTAAATATTTTTGTTCTTTGTTATCTATGGCTCACACAGAAAAACTGGCCTAGAAAGTTCAGACAACAAAGCAAAACAAACGTAAAATATATATATATATATATATATATATATATATATTATATACACACACAGAGATCGTGTGCACTTTAAAAAATTTATAACTTTATTTGTATTTGCGATAGAAATAATCTGTAAAAAATGTTATAAAGTTTAACGTACCTAGTTTTAAGTAGGTCTAAAATAACTAATGTGATTTCAGGCATTACTGTAAATCAGTTGGCAAATGTTTTCCATGAACTGCAAAATCGTATTACCCTTTGTATTGCTAATGATGGAGGACATGTGGATACTTAAAATTTCAATAAAACATTAAAAAATATAGATTTACTTCTTTCTAATCCTTTTTACAAATTATTTCTATCGCAAATAAAGTTATAAATTTTTTAAAGTGCACATGAACTTTATGGACACCCTGTGTATGTGTGTATATATATATATATATATATATATATATATATATATATAAAGATAACTGACTGGATATTAGTCTGAATAAATTAGAGAGCATCAATTCTACTTAAAAACCAAAACATTAGTGAGTTTTATTAACTGACAGATTTAAATAAAAACCTGAGAGTATCATCACACCATTTTTTCCCCCAGCCTCGCTTTAGAGGAATGTTACCATTCAAGTGATTTCCTCCTGCCAATCAGAATATTGGAATAGATTTATCATTATGATAAAAAATGACAATGAGAATTTCTACAGAACAGAAAAAACATTAGACAAATTTACATACTTTTTTTTTTTTTTTCATATCCCCATGTATTGAGTACTTAAAAGGTTGGAACTAGAAAGACAAAACAATACTTGATCCATAAAAAAGTGTTATAAATATTAAAGCTGACCCAGACAAGAAAATGCTCTACTGACCAAGGCACAAAGATCATTTGTAAACAGGCTAAATATTATAGATTGATTGGTTTTCATTTTTACAAGATATGAACACTGACAAGTGCCATTGAGTATGAAAACAACAACAACTGTAAGACAAACAAGAAATAAGAATAAAACAAAGTCCTTTTAAAACTTTGGTAAAGCTCATGGAATTCCAGAGAGTTCTTCACCCACTCATCCTGACTTGAAGAATCCAACAATTACTATTGTAGACTCTTTGGGTTGAGTTATGTTGGACCTCTGACCAATATAAACATTTTTTTTTTTCAATTTGGATGTAATCCTTTACATAATGTTCACATGTTCTTGATTATTTCATTTTTCAAAGATACGGAATATGTTTGAAATATCAGATTTTTGAAAAAAAAAAAAAAAAAAAAAAAAATTTAAATAAAGAGGAAAAAAAAAAACCTATTATAATGGTATTTATTGATATAAAGTTTGTTTATAGATGAAAATATTTTATACCTCAACAAGGCATTATGGGAAAATTAGTATTTCAATCATGAGATGAACAAAAATCTATACAACCAGAATAAATAAATGAATATTTTCTTCAAACAAAGGCAAAGTTGCATGAAGTTGACTGGAATTTTCACTGAAGCAAGACTGGCCAAATATGAGATATGAAAAAATAAATTTAAAAATACCTAAGATATAAAAAAAAAAAAAAAAAAAGAGAAATGAAACAACACAGATTTATATGATAGAACAATCCCCATTTTATAACAACAAATAATTAAAATGTCGCCCCCACAAAACCAAAAACATCAAATAAAATATCAAATCTTTTTTGCATCCTCAAATATATGACAAATGCAAACAACCCAATTTTGGCTTGGAATTAGAAGATTCACTTCAAAATGAGTTAATTTTCTAAGCATGAAAAAATATCTTACAAAAATAGCAAATAAAAACATGAACTTTACAAAATAGCAAAACAAGAACAATTTCTTTAAAAGACCAATTCAGGGTACCGTTTGCCATAATCTGTTTACTAAGATTCTTATTTAACCTGGATTCCAATGAAAGAGAATAAAAAAAAATTCTATCTATGTGTGGACATCTATATATAGATGTACAATGTTTTTGCATTTTTTAAATACACCATTTTTATACTTTGGCAAATACCAACATATTTTAATAAAAATGAGTTGGCCTTAATTCATTGACATTTTTTATCCAGTTTCAACTGATCATACTTTCAAATTTATGCTTCACTCCTAAACCGAAGAAATGATGAAGACAGTAAATAAAGAAAAAAAAAAAAAATCCTGCTGTAAAAAAAAAACTATATCACTTATTTCAATTGTGTAACTTAATTTTTCATCATTTTTTTTTTTCTTTTATAAATATGATAAACAAAAATCACACATGCACAATACATTTTGAAACAAATCTTTAACAAATTTGCTTGTGTAAATAATATCAAGAATTGCTAAGCTTTTTCTGGTCCAGTTTCAAATGGTGGAGTATAAATTTACCTGTATGAATTCATGATCACCAAAGAATTTCTGGTTTAAAACTGAGGAAAATCTCCAGAAATGTTTCGAGTTTTTAATGCATAATGAAATTTATTTATAACCTCGGAAACGAAAAGTAGAGAAACAAATAAAAACAGTTTTAGGTAAAACATAGATACTTGTCACAAAGTGAATGATATGTACTCAAGTGATTTATGTGCCAATTAAGACATAACTGAAAGAAAGAATTTTCTTTTAAATGTTGCTATTGCCATGACAACAGATCCTTCCCAACATGCACTCGAATGAACATTTTTTTGTTTTTGTTGTTGTTGGTTCTGCCAAAAAAATATAAATGGAGCAGAAGGTTTATTTGTGTATTACTTTGAGTGTGGATGCTCTAATCCTGCCCCAGAGAGAGAATTTTTTTTTTTTTGTCACAGAGGTTGAGCAGATAATGTTCTGTAGCTTCATCGATCCACGCCAGTGTCTAAGCCAAGAATTTGTTTGGCCGTTTCATATGTAGCAAATGAAACTGCTACTGTTGGGATGACACGGATATAGTTGACCGTGAGGCCACGGAAAAGGCCATTACTGACACCATCCTCCCTGTAGATGACCAAAAGTGTTCGAAGCCAGCCTCTGAAGGAAAGAACAACATGACAGTAGGTGTTAGCAAATTGTGCCAAAATATCAAATTACACACAAAATGATATTTGATTCATATAAATTCATAGCACAAGTGAGGTTAATTGATTGGTCCAATTGTGGAAAAAAAAAAAAAAAAATAGAAAAATTTAAGGGGATAATTTTTAAGATTAATATTCATTAGATATTTCACAAATTACAACATTGATATTTGTTAGCATTTCTCAAATTACAACATTGATATTTGCTAGCATTTTAGAAGTAGGATTCTATTCAGAATATAAATATAGTGTCAAATCAGAGTTATCTGTACTAAGATTTTATTTACAAATGTCAAGCTTGAAACTGTACAAATTTATCTAAATCCAGATCACTGTAAAAAGTGAGGGATCAATTTCTGACTAATTATATTATTAAAAGGACCCTGCTTAAAAAAAAACAAAAAAAACCTGCCTATGAATGCTAATCTACAAAAATTATCCCCACCAAAATTTGTACTCTACAGTGATCCCTTGTTTATCGCGGTAGATTGGTTCCAGGACAGGCCGCTATAACTGAATTTCTGCGAAGTAGGGATGCCATATTTACAGTATTTATTTAATGTGTATTTGGACTTTTAAAACCCTCCCTGTACTGTTAACAACCCACCCATACTCTATTAATAACAAGTACAATTGTTAAGCAATAACACTTTAGATTAAAAAAAAAAAAAAAAAAAAAAAAAGATTGTTACTGTATTCAACACAAAAGAATTTGAAGTAGAATTTGAATGATGATGAAGCTGATGATGACTTCTACTTTGCAGCCAATAATTGTATTTTACATCTCTTCAGATGGCAGTGCCCTTTCTATTGCTATTTTACGCTTGTTTTGTTGTTCCTAGACCAGGAAATAATATTTATTATTAATATTTTAATGGGTTTAATGAAAAGTTTTAGGTGTTCAGATATCACAATTTTTCTAGAATTTTCCAGAAACTCCACAATATATTTTCCATATATATATATATATTTTAAAAATCCGTGAAGTCATGAATCCGCAATAGTAGAACCATGAATTAGCGAGGGATCACTGTATTTTTTTTTTTGATAAGTAGACCAGTCAACCTTAGTTAGCCGCACTAAACTCTTTTTCTACAAAAAGAGTTTTAGTGTGGCTTCTGCATTCAGATCCAGCCTGATTACAAAAGTCACCAGAAGGAAGATGAATAGCGACAATGAAAATATAATTACAAAGCAAAAAAAAAAGATTTCTTCCTGCTTTAAGATGCAAAAATACTTACTGATCGTATTTGTGAGACTCTGGTAACATTCGAGATAACTGCATTCGACGTCTAACCACATCCAGAGGATAACTGAGGGAAAGAAATTACATAATTAATGGTCAGTGTTTTTTTTTTAATGATTATGTAAATTTGTTATATATTTTTTCTATTTTAGAAAAACAAAGTGTAGTTTTATTTTAAGAGTTAATATAAATGTGAAATAAAGATTTACAATTTTTATTTTGTCAGTAATGTTTAAATTCTTAACAAATGACAATTCATTTCTTTCTTATTTCAACACATTTTTATAGTAAAATCATTAACAATGCAAACACACACAATATATGTCAAGAAAGTGTTTTAATTCAGCCACAGTGAATTTACATCCAGGTTCTTATGTTTTACCATTCTTGGCAGATTTTCCGTTATCACAACGTCAGATATTTAAAAACAAAGATGATGCAAAGAAAAAGAATATAGATGAATTTGGTTAGATTGCAAAAAAAATATTTCAAAAGATTTTGGAACTACCAGTGTCTCTCATTCAAATGCATGTGTAGTAACAACATCAACAAACCTGGTCTGATGAAGTCCTAACGGTTGAAACCCGTCACAAATAAACCTTACATTTTGTCTTACAATTTCCTCAATACTGTTCTTGATATATAAAAACATATATCATTATCTCATATATATATATATATATATATATATATATATATATATATATATATGTGTGTGTGTGTGTGTGTGTGTGTATAGAATCCAGACAGAATCTAATAAATTTGACAAAGTGAAAAACTGTTTTATTGACTGATTAAACATTTGTCATTGTTAGATAGGTTTCCTCAGATCAGAACGAAAGTAATATGTGTTTCAATATTAAAATCATAAATACATTTTCCACTAAGCTGATGTAACTCGGTCAAGATGAAAGAACAAAATTGTGTGATTCTTGTTCCATAGCCATTTTAATTTATGCGGATTCCTTTTTTTCAATTTTTCTTGCTTTATTGAAATTTGCTTCTATATTCGCCCAGCTTTTCTGCAGTTAATTTAAGGTAAATCCCTTTCCAATGTTCCAGAGTTAGTTGAAAGTAAGATTAATATATTTTCTGATTAATGTATATCTTTGTTTTCCATTTTATTGACTTGACGCATTTCACCATCTTTCCACTTTGTCAAATTTATTAAAATTATTAAGTAAAAACTATATTTATTGAACATCAAATGGAAAAGCTTACTACAATTCAGCAATCCCAAGTATTTTAAAAAGAATTTTGAATTTCTTTTTTTTTTTTTGTGCGTGTATATTTAATATGAAAAAAAAAAAAAATAAATAAAAAAAATAAATAAATAAATAAATTTCCAATCAATTTAAATTTATTTTGAAATACAACAAAGTATTTAGTTTATTGGAAACATTAAATTTAATCTATTAGCTTGAAATTAAAACTAAATTAATTGTGGGCGTGTGTGTGTGTGTATGTATGTATATGTATATATATATATATATATATATTATATTATAACACACACACACACACACACACACACACACATATATATATAAACATCAGATTTTAGGATATCACATCAACATGTGAATAATGCTACACAAATGCAATTGTGTTTTAATGTGTATTAACACATTGCATCATGCATTAGTAAATGACACTAACGTCTGATGAAATGTGTTAGTACACATTGAAACATGATTGCATTTATGTAGCATTTTTATTCACATGTTGATGCAATATCCTAAAATAAAGATTACTGTACTATTGTATTGAGCCCTCTTAAATCAATGTTACTGACGTTGAAATTTATATTCAATTCGTTCTTATTGCATATAGTGACGAGATATAGATATATATTTCATTTTCTAATTAACACTTGCAATTATCTACCCATAACTAAAAGCGCTGGTTGTTTCTCTCATTATCTTTACAAATTTTTAATTATCTCCAAGTTCAAAACTATTCTGTGCTAAAATATAACTTATTGTTTAACTATGCCCACAATCTCCATTAGAATCTTCTGTGTTGCTCTATATTTAATCATTAATGCGAATGAAAAATTTAACAAATCCTATCAGTTAAATAATGGGTCCCACAAAGAGCAGTTAAAAAAAATATATTATATATATATATATATATATATACACACACACACACACACTATAAAAAGCAATTAAAAACTTAATATTTTGAATTACATTGAGTAAGCCTTGAAAAAAAAAAAAAAAAATTTTTCATTTCACTTTAAACAACTCTTTCGTGAATAAAGACTGAAATTGAAGAAGTACTTCACAAGTTTCTACTGATATTATTTTCATTCAGATCTTGTGAAATTTTTTTACAGATTTTTCCTTTTTCTTTTATAGAAATGTTTTTTACTCAAGGTAGTGGGTTACAGAGTAAGAGGAATAAGTTATGCACATATGTGTGGAAGATAACAGTTAACCCTAGACTGACAGGTTAAGAGTGTAGTGATCAGGGAAGCATCCTCTTGTGAGACAGTTCCACAAAGCAGCTGCTCAAGAGGAACTTACATCTTGCCCCAATGGGAATGAGGAAAATCTGCTACATGGTGGGTCTTAGCTGTGAAGGTTAGAAAACTAAAGAACGTAGTTGGTCTGAACACTTTCCATAGAAATAGCGATAGAGGCTTGCAATGTTTAGTCTGTGAAGAAGGGATTGTAGTGTGGAAAATATTTCATCACCCACAAGGATGCAGAGACATTTTTGAACTACTGAGAAGTGAAAAGTGAAAACTGAGCAGCTCCTGATCATGGTAGTAATGTTCCATCTTTGGCCCGACCTGTCTATTGAAATGGTAAAATTTAACAGGAGGAGTCAGGTCCTTACTGGAGCAGTACAGGGAACTGACTATTTTCCTAGCATCTTTAGCAATGGATCATATGTATGAGTTTTACTTGAGGTCAAGTGTGAGTTTGAGGCCCAATAGGTACTCAATGCATGGAGTCTCTGTAAGAGAACATCTGCTCATCATGACAGTTCTGGGTCCTATCGACAATGATGGAATGCAACCAGCCATTTTTTCACTTTCAATGTACTGTTAGAGCTAAATCAAAGAGAGGGGGATCAGCTGCCAATTTCTGGTCGTCTAGAGTTTTGATAGTATATACACCATGGTATCATCAGTATAGATATTAAATGCCTGGCGTATGCTCTGAGGCTGATCATTTACGTAAAGCAGAAAGAGTTGGTCTGAGAAACGACCCCTGGGGGACATCTGCATTTATTGTTATGTTCCCTGGAGAACTGCCTGTTAACAACTACCTTGAAGGAGCTACTGTTTACCCAATACAAAGCTCAAGAACCACTCAAGGTGGAGGGTTCTGTTAAAAATGGTTATAATGAATGAAATGTGTGATATGAATGAAAGGAGGTGATATTGATGGAGTTGTTGCAAATGAGTTCATTTTTAATTAAACAATAGCACAAGTTTTCTATCAGAGTATGAAGTTGCTGTAGAAAGCATATACATTTGTATACTTTTTATGTCTAGTTCTTGCTACGTAACAACTCCAACAAAAACATTACTCTTTCTTCATATTACACACGAGTTTACGGCAAAAGTAGAATGATTAAAGAGACAAGGTGAAAACTCAATTCTGAAAATAGCTCAGTTAATGTTATCAGATAAGGTAGGTTTATTGGCCAATTTCATATAAATCTGGCATCCTGGGTAGGACAATAAACTACATATGCATCTTGGGCAAGATATAAGCTACATCCAACAGCAAGGCCTATGATCAGGTGGTTTTGAGGAGCGTGGAACCACCTCTTAATTGCTGGTATTCCCAGGTGTACCTTGACCCAGGGTGGTAGCACCTGTTAGGTTCCTAACTATGGGCAAATAGTTAACCTCCAAACTGGGGTCAAAACACTATGAAAGTGGTGCAAAAATAAAATAAATATTATATATATATATAAGCAATAAAAATCTTGCCGGCATTAAATAACCTATTGAGGTTGATATGCCGTAAAATAAACCAAACCATATAAATCTCAAATAAAAATTTATAATCAATCCCCCACTTCTAGGTTTTGTTACGAAGATAAACATGAAGAAAAGGCATCATATAAACTGCTATTGATATAGAATACCAAGAACTGAAAGTCAAATATTTTCACTAAATATTTAAAATCTTGAAGGCTGATGTAATAAAGACATTTATTTGAAAATATTTTATTATAACAGAAAGAAAAGATAATGTAAATAACGTCATGTAAAGGACAAGGTTTTAAAGACACACACTCGCATCTCATATCCTTGGAAGCCTGACATGAACAACACTTTACCAGTTTCACCATAAAGACCCTTTAGTAGGTGAATTTTAAAATTTTAGTGAGATAGCTTCATTGGATTTTTTCCATACCATATTGTTTATTTGCTCTTAGTAGAACAGGCAAATTTCTTATGTGAAACATTTTCGGACAAATATTTTCCAATACATTTTTGCTGAATTTCATCACATTTTATGAACATTAAGTCTAATGCTACGATATGACGAAGTTGGGGGGGGGGCATCAGACCTGAATGAATGCAGCTATAGGAATTGATTTAAATTTTGACTACTGATAAATCATGGTGACCAAATTAGTAAGGCCTTATCCATATCAGATGGGCTGCTAACGATATGGAATGAGAGTTCATTAGGGGTTATTTCTTTATTTCTATACTATCAAGGAATGTAAAAATATTTTGAGAATTCCGATAAAGCAACAAAAATAAGTAAAGGGAAAATAGCCTGAAATGAATAATGAAATTGCCTTATCTATTTAAATTCAGACAACTTTTGGCTATATTTTTGTAATAAAAAAAAATTTAAAAAAATATTAATTCTCTAATTGATAAAACAAGTTCAAGCCCTTTTTCAGAATATTTATTTGAAATCAAAATAAGAATGGGAAAGGTGTGATGCAAATATTTGTCAATCAGAGAGAGAGAGAGAGAGAGAGAGAGAGAGAGAGAGAGAGAGAGAGAGAGAGAGAAAAAAAAAAAAATTTAAAATAAAGAGAAAGAAAATCTCTGTGGACTTACGCGGTAGTCTGTGCAATGACTCCAGCCAAGGCACCACACAACAGCTTGGCTGGCAGCACCAGCACGACACTCCCAGTGTTTTTATGGCACTGCCGGCCCAAAGTATCAGGAAAGTAATCCAAGCAGAAGTTCTTCAACATCTCAAAACAAGTGAATGACAAACCTTAAAAAAATAAAATAAAAAATAAAAAAAAAAAAAAACCCAACACTATTATGCATCAGATCCAAAAAGGTACGAAGGATAAATGAGTCATCATACTTATAAAACCCAGGTTGTGTGTGTGTGTGTGCGTTTATATATTGGATCGGATTTCCTACATTTTTCAACCGATTTCAACAAAACTTCACAGGACTACGTAAAATTACCTTGTGGTGGTTTTGACAGCGCCAAAAATTGGAAAAACAATTGTTTTTGCATTAAATCAATTTGAAAACATGATTAAGAGGCATTGCTTTCACGGAATGAAAGGGAGACAACTCATATTGAGTTATACTTATAAAACCCAGGTTGTGTGTGTGTGTGTGTGTGTGTGTGTGTGTGTTCATTTATATATGGGATCGGATTTCCTACATTTTTCAACTGATTTCAACAAAACTTCACTTTTTTTTTTGGCAGGTAGTGTTTCTTATTGTCTTGCACACTTTTTTCTTTATTTTTACATTCAGAATGCTTTAAAAATTCCATTTACAAGACAATTGTTTATAATAAAATTCTATTCAATAGGTAGACTCATAACGATTGAAAACAATGTTTTTGTTAGAGTTTGACCAATTCATAAAAAAACAAAAACAAAACAAACTAATTAAGACATGTGTGTCCGTCAATCTTAAACAATAATCTTTGTCAATTTTATTTTTCAGTCTTTATGATGGCCGATACTTGATCTATCTCTTACTGTTACATCCTCGGGCAATGCCAGGCTCTACTGCTAGTACATCAATAAATGCAAAACATATTTCACTATTATTCAGTCATTTGCTTAATAAGAGCAAATTCACCACAAAATGTCTGCTTTGGCATTAAGCCTTATGAAAAAGCCACAAAATAATTTCTAAAATAGCATGTTTTAAATATTTTTATTTGCAGGCAGAGACAAAAATAAAAACAATCTATTTATATTACATCATTTTTTTTTTTTAATCATTTTACCCCAAGCAGGGCAATAAAGCCATAAGATACTGATTGACATTGCATTTAAATTTGTGAAGATCAAAGTTGACTGAATGACAAGAAACCAGAAGAGAATTCGACAAGTGAGAAGAGTAAGAGAAGAAACTATTAACATCTAACCATTTCAATTTATAAAATGAAGAGACCTGGCCACCAATCTAGTACTGTGCTTAAATTCATAAAATAGGAAAGGTCCATCAGAGCAATTAGCATAAAAATATTTATAGAATAGGCACAAGGTGGGAAAGTGACTGAAGCCTAGATGCCAGGTCAGGACCTATAACATTGCAGATTATTCTCTAGATTTTATCAAGTATCTAAGTATATAGCAGAAGCACCAGACCAGATGTGACAGCAACAGTCAATGCATGGATGAACAGTAAACTTATGCCTAAGATAGATTCTGGTGAGAGAAATTGTCTAGTACAACACAGTGAACCAACTTTCCTAGCAGCAGATCTAGCAATTGATTCAATATAAGCTTTCCATTTTGAATAAAAGGGTGCAATGATTCACTCTCCTGGAGGTTAGCATCAGCCATACTGATAAAAGGCAAAAAAGGTTTTCTCAGACGATTAAAAGAGAGCAGTTTCATCTCTTGCCCTACTTAATAGATTGTAGGTCATTTTTGAGTTCAGCTGCCAATTTGACTTTATTGAACCGATCAAACTTACCAATACAACATGAATAAATAAATGTGTCATTAGCATAGATACAGAGTTGAGAACTAATGACATCAGAGTAAGGTCAATGATGAAAATTAGGAACAACCAAAGGTCAAAAGATAGATTTGTAGAGTGTAAAAAAAAAAGATCTAGAAAAATGGCCAATCAGGACAACTTTCATTTCGCTATTTGATAAGAAAGAATCTGATCAAATATTTATCCATAAATGCCATAACCTTTCAACTTGGAAAAAAGACCAGCATGCCAATCCCTGTTAAATGTCTTTGAGATATCAAAAGTAACAGAGATTCACTATCTAAAGCTTGATAGACTCTTTCAGCAATAACTTAATACGGCTGTAGTTGAGCTAGAGAAGCAAATGCCACATGGTTTAGGTGATCCAAGAGGTGAGATCCTTAACCAGTTCAAAGTTGATTAGAACCTCTAGTACTTTGCTAAAAAGAGGTAGAAGACTAATAAATCAATAGTTCGAATGATCAGATAGTCCATCTGAGTTCCTGAAGACTGGAACTACAGAAGAGGGTTTCCAACAAGCAGAAAAGCAAGAAACAGCAAGGTGTTTATTGTAGAGTTTAGAGAGAATACGAACCAGTTCAGGAACACATTTTAACGATTATTTCAGAGATACCATGAAGTCCACATGCTTTGTAGAGGATCCCCTTTAGAGGTGATAGCAGAAATCGTGGATGTAGTTATATGCATATCAAACAATACAGACTCAGTGCTAAGTAGAAAGTCAGGCAAAGATACTCTAGATAAATGAAGAGTAGAATTGGAAGAGAATTTACAAGCAAAACATTCTACTTTATCAGCAGAAGATGTTAACACTTCAAATTGGGTGAAGAGAGGAGGAATAGAAGACTTACTCTTATTTAACACAACCTTACAGAGCCGCCTGTAGTCACAAAAACCAAACTTGTCACAGGCTGTATGGTACCCCATTTTGTCAGCAAACAAAGATATAGCCTCTTTGAAGACATATTTACAATTATTATGAGCAGATAAAGAGGTGTCAGTTGTGATCAGAGCTATCACTCTACTACAACCAGAAAAAGTGTTTCCTGTAGGCTATAGCGGCTGAATAGGCAGGCATGAACCAAGAAGATTGTGGTAGTTCCAAGACAGTACAAAAGTATCAATGCTGGTGTTAAGGAAGGTTAAAAATATTAATCCAAAACATGTCTCAAAGAAAGTCACAAAATGAATCCCAACGGGTATGATGGTAAGAGAAAGAAGGAGATTCTGTCTAACAGACAACTCAAAAGAAATATCGACAGATATTAAAGTGTGATCTGAATTAACAAAAAGACAGTTGTGAGGAGAGGAGGCAAGAAACAAATTGAGTAAAGAAGTTTTTTGATCTGGATTATTAGGAAAATGAAGAGGGAAATCCACCATTTGATTGAGAGACAGAGCAATGAAAAATTGAAAGTCCGAACATCAGTAACATTAGAATGATTAAGCCCTTTGACGAGATGAGTATTAAAATCACTAAACATAAAAATGTTTGCAGATGAATATAGAGAGTGAGAGAAAGATACATCTCTAGTGTCAAATACTTTATCTAATATGCTACAATCCTGATAAGGTGAGCACTAAAGGAAAAAGAGAAGCTAACAGAGTTTAACAAAGTTGAAAGACCATGAAAGAATCATCCAGGAAATAAAGAGACAATTGCCTTGCCATTGGAAGATTTTCCTGGGCGTAAACACCATGACCATGCATGTGTATCCTAGGATCTTTTCAACAAAGAGAAAGATAACCTGGAATAGGGAATTCATTGGTAGCAATAGAAGGATTAAAATGATATTTGGAGAATGTTTCAAGAGAAACAATTCTACCACCACAGAAACTGGTATACATACCATAAATATTGGAGAAAGAAAAGTTGGTGGGGGGTGCTAGGTTTACCGACGTATTCAGATTTCTTTGAATAGTAACCGTCACAAGAAGATTATGATTAAATAAGAGTATTTAATAAGCAATGTTATGTATCATCAAGAGACTATGATAAAATATAGGGAATATTCAGATAAAGAATATCATTTATAAAAATAAAATAAGTTTCTTGTTTAAATGGTTATTTGATATTTTCACCAAAGTCTGAAATAAAAAAATGTTGCAAAAAATTACAAGCATTCCTTTTTCTCATTTGAAAAGCTTATTGATAGATTTGTTTTTTTTTATGGCTTAACCCTTTGCAGGTGTGGGGAGATAATGATTTAGTGATACAAATCTTACTAATTAACTCATAGTTGGAAAGAGAAGAGATGGATTCATGCCTTTCCTAAGGGTATTTTCACATAAGTGAATATAACAAACCCTCATCGATTTCCAATTCTAAGCAGTTATCCATTACACATACAAGCTTTACAGCACTTGGTATTCCCAAATGGTCACCTATCTAGTTACTGACCAGGCTTGATGTTGCTTAACTTCAGTGATTGTACAGGAACTGGTGTTTCAACATGATATGGCCAAAAGCTTAATGGAAAATAACAGAAATCTCAGTAAATTGAGTCCTGAATAACCCTAAAGTCCTGATGTTTATTCTTCCAGGTCATCAAGGGCATTTAGTTTAAAGTAACTTTGTCCAAAAAGATCATATTTTATTGTGTCAGCTGTCATTGTTGTTTAAAAAAAAAAGTAAAAAATTATTACTAGCATATTTTTGCTTATTGATTCTAACATTAAAGATGGAAGAAAAGAGACATTTACAGCAGATAGTATATCAAAAGAAAAAAACTGACTAAAAAGAAGAAAAAAAAAAAAGATTTACACAATTTATGAAGAAGGTACTGCAAATAATTATACAATGCAAAAGTGGTTTGCAAAGCCTCACGCTGGAAAATTTATTGAACAATACTTTATAGGTCTTAAAATTTTCTCTTAAGGAAAAAACATCCAATTCTCTGGAAGAATGTAAAAGGCACTTGGAGCCATTCTTTAAGATAAAATATTTTGGAAGAATGAAATTATGAAGCTATCTGAAAGATGGCAAAAGATAGAACTGGTAAAGAATTTGTTCAATAAAATTAGTGCCAAAAATTGTAATTTTTTTTTTTAACTTGATAGACCAAACAAACTTTTTAAGCACCTTTGAAAGTTGATGTTGCACATGTTAAGATAAAGCTGAAATTTCATCTTTTATCGGTAATTTTCATGGATCAAAAATAATTCTAATGTTTATTTTCTTTAATACAAAACTAAGTGAATCTATTTAAAATTAGTCTTGAAAGCTTATCTACACTTTTCATAACACATTTGTTTTTAGAAATTTCTATTTGTTACAATATTATAATAAATTAATGGAGTGTGAATGTAAAGCACAATGGTACACACGCACCAGCATAGGGAGAAATGCCGAGTATTGAAGGTACCATGCCCTTATAAAGAGCACTTGTACCTCCCTCAAGGTGCATCATAGACTTCATAGTATCCACAATGCCAAAATAGAGGTGCTCTCCTTTCACTTGGAAGGCTAATCGAGCACGTACTACATCAAGTGGGTAGGTCACAACAACTGCCACCATGCCTAGAAAATAAATAAAAATACTCACATTAAAACAAATTCAAACCGTCAATAATAAAGTTTTAGAAAAAAAAAAAAAAAAAAAAAACAATCAAAATCTAAGCCATTCTTCCAGATTCTTCCATGACATTCAAAATACAATTTTGTTTTTAAATAAAATAATCACCACTCTCAAAATGAAAAATATTTTTCCATAATTTTGGAAAATTTATTGTGCATGTTTAGATACTAAAGTAATCAAGATTTGTGCAGATATGAACGTACCAAATCCAGGATATATTACAGAAATTCCTTTTAAAACAACCACACTAATCATTTTTTTAAAAATTTAATAGCTTATAAAATTTACATTATATATCTATATATATATCTATATATGACGTCACACATTATGAAATGGACAAAGTCTGACAATTATTTTAAGAATGTATAAACATAAAAATGTCTTAAAATATCTATATATCTCTATCTATATCTCTATATATTATATAGATAGTTCATTTAACTGATCAGCAGAAGCTTTTTCACTGTTGTTGAGTTGCCAAAACCAATTAGAAATTACATATATTTTCAACAATTATTTCATAAAATGGGTTGGAGTAGATATCTATATTGCATAAAAGGTTTTACTCTACTCGGCACACTAACTGTAAAAGGGGGGGGGGCTTTTGCACAAATCTGAAATTAAATTTTGGGGTGGTGGCAATGAACCTCACCACCGATCTACGAGGTATAGAAACCAAATCCTCGCATCTGATTCTCTTCTAGTTCTTCAAGCCAAGTGTGCCACTTGCTTATGGTAAACACCAAAATGCAATAGCGTTTTGATTGGCATGATATCTAACCAATGAATAATAAATAGACTAGATTTATAATACTAATGATCCTTATTACCTCTTATATGATCTCACAGTAATGTTTATGATGGCTGCAACTAAGTCTCATCCAATATATGGCATACAGTGAACTAAATTCAACACATTTAATAGTATTAGTCATAATAGTAATCAAATTAAAAGAAGCAGTGTGGATAAATTTTCATTAATTTTCATTATTTTTTATTTTATTTTTTTTTTTTTTTTACACATACTTTTTCATCTATTTTTTTTTTTATTGCAACTTCTAGACTGTCATTCAATGGTTGTTAAGCAAGCAGCACAGATTGGACGTAAATATGACTAGCAAGATGTTAACTTACATCCTTGGGTTTCCGTCATTCTGTGACAATGTTTTACAGGTTAGATCACAAAGGCCAACTAATAGGAGTCATTTAAATTTTGATAGATCTGGACATTTTTAGTTTGGATTTGTGTGGCTTAGAATGGTAAAATAATGGCATAAAAGCTAAGGAAATATTCATAAAAAATGAATAACTTCAACAATTTGTCAGCTGTTTGTAATATTTCTTGTAAATTTGACAGATTCTAATTCGGTGTGATTGCATTGTGTTGAGATTCAAACTAGAAGAAATTAGTCCGAGTTACTGCGTTGTACAGGAAATTTCTTTATTGTTCTGGTGATTATTCTTTTTTATGTTGTCAATCCAAGTTTTTTTTAATCACACATAATAAAATGTATTAGGTCTGTAAGATATTCTATTGCCTTTATTGATAAAGACTGACAAAGTGTAGAAAGTAAACTGATACTTTCTTTGTGAGTTGACACTTAAAAAAGAAAAAATATTGACAGCCAAGTCATTTAAATATATATTTATTTTAAAAGATGATATATTTTTAATTTTTAGCCACATATTAAATATTTCAAATTTCTAATTGGTCTCTATTGTGTTTGGGCATATCTAATATGATTGATGACAATAGTTTCAGTTTGTAAGGGGTTCTAAAATAAAAACATTGCAAATGTTATTTTCTATACTAATTCTGGAATAAGAACAGATTTTGTTGTGGAATATCTAAAAACATGTTAAACGATTTCACAAACCACACACACACACACACAAAGAGCATAGCAAAATAGATTTAAAGAAGAAAAACAAGAATATTAGTGGTTGAAAAGTCTATAGTTACCTGCCAAGGATCCAGCAGTCAGCTTGACAACATGAGAGTGACAATTTGTAACGGACTTGAAAATCTGTTAAGAAGCATTACAGTCAGAAAACAAATGGTGCACAGGCAAAAAATGAAAGAAAAAGAAAAAAAAAGCACCCTGAAAAAAAATGGTGCCAGGTAACAGGGTAGCAGATTCAACTGGTCTCCTTTATATATATATATATATATATATATATATATATATATATATATATATATATATATATATATATAGAGAGAGAGAGTTGAGAGGAGTTGAGATTTTAGCACAGCCCATTTCCCAAAAACAAGATTCTATTTTATTTATTTATTTATTTTTTTTTTTAAAACCCTTGTGAGTTAAGTTCTCAGGCTAACTGACAAGGGTTAAAAAAAACAAAAAAAACTTGTGTCTTGGGAAATGCGCTGTGCTAATCACTTCTGTAGTGTGTAGCTTATATATCATAAAGAAGTAATTTATGAAAAGAATTAATTAGCAATGTTAATGTGATTAATGGCGAAATCACTTTGCTAACAAGACTTAATGAGACATTAACTTGCTACTAATTCCTTGAATAATATGATCCTTATATTTTAGTTGTTGTCAGATGGAAATGATAGGCCAAATACTTTTGACAATTTCAAATTGTCATCTTCAGTGCCTTTCTTGACCTGTCACTTCCATCTGACAACAACAGAAGTGATTTCACCATTAATCACATTAATATTGCTAATTAATTCTTTGTATAAATTGCTTCTTTATGTTATAAAAAACAAACTTTATTGTATGTTTTTTTGTATCTACAAACACAGATTTTTTCCTATTCAGATATTACAAAGTAATATTTAAAAGAATAAATAACTTGGATTGATAGATTAAATTACTTTGTTAATTCTGTGATTAAAATAAATTTTAGGTTTCATATAAATCTCATCATAAACTGATAACATTGAATGTTTTTAATGCAAGCTATTTTTCTAAACTAATACACATAATGAATACTTTTCTATGTTGTAGGTTTAAATACTATAAAAAGATTTTGCTCTCTTGCCAACTAAATATTTACCAAACAAGCCTAATTTCATTACCTTTTATTAGAAAAATGATTGGCTATGTCTTAAAAGACAGTTGTATAAATAAATCTGGATTTTTCAGATAAACAAAGAATCTCATTATCTATGGGGAAATCTGTAAAGAATATCAAACCATATCCAAAATTTACACTGGGGGTGGGGACACTGAAAAGAGAAATCGATACCCTATTTTAAAACAAAAAATTTATGCTTTGTATTCAGGTTTCCAGCCAAATTTGGTTTGGCTTGATTTGTTTTGTTTTACAGCATATAAACCTCAATGGGTTATTTAATGCCAACAAAATTTTTATTGCTGCTAATATTTTTTCAAAAGTATTGTTGGTAATATTTTTCTTTTTCAAAAAAGTATTGTTGGTATTAATACCTATTTTTATACTTTCAGTGTTTTGACCCCTTTTAAGTGGTTAACTATTTGCCCATAGCTGGGACCCTAACAGGTGCCACCACCCTAAGTCAAGGTGGACCTGGGAACACCAGCAATTATGAGGTGGTTCCACACTCCTCAAAACCTCCTGATCAAAGGCCTTGTTATCAGATGTAGTTTACAGTCTTACTCAGGATGTAGTTTCAAACCGAACCTTTTATTTCATCCACTGGTGTAGATTGTGAATATGACAAAGATAAGGACAACATTCTGATCATTGTAAATAATGTAAATATTTTACTCCTTTGAAATATTTTAAAACTAAAAGGTTTACTGATTGGGTCACTCAATAAATGAAACTGTAGATTGTTACAGCCTTGCAATGAGGGGATTCAACAGATGTGAGGCTCTACTCTATAAGGATATTAGCTTTTATCATTCTGTATGAGACTTCATTTGCTGTGTAGAAAGTTTATTCTGCCACTGAAGGTGACCGATCTTTGAATATGAAATTGTTTGAATTCCATTTTCCTGCTATGAAAACACCTTTCAGTGAAATTAACAAAAAATTCCCTGCAATTGAGAGGCAATGAAAACTAATGCAGTGGAAAGGGAAGTAATATGAAGCAGATTTGTAAAGATTAAACATAATTGCATTATGGAAAAATAAATTTTCTTTTTTTAGATGTTTATTACTGAAAGATTTTATCAGGTAGTTTTCATTTAGCCATCAGGTCATATTTATTGATAAAAATAGTTTCCTTATATTACTACAAACAAAAGCAAGGCATATAAATTCCATGCTTTGTGGTATATTGAAGAAATAATTTAAGGATGAATAATGGCAAGCTGGAAGAAAGGAAAACAAATATAATCTATGCAGATGTAATATATTTCGTATTAGAGACTTTGCTTAAAAAAAGCTCAGCATTTATTTCAGAGTGCCTCATTAAATGATATTAATAGAGAGTTATATACAGCATTTAGTTTCACATCAGGTTGGCAAAGAAAATAACAGTTACTGGTCATCTCCCCACCCCCGCCAAATAGCAATAAGAATAGTAATGGATAAAAAATCCAGATTCACTGTTATTTTCTTTTAACTTTAGTAGGCACAAAAATTCTAAAACTAAAAACAATTGACATTCATTTTAATAAAGCAAATTATTTTCTGTTAAAGTGGTCATGTTTGAAAAAAAAAAAAAAAAATCTAAAATAATCATTTTCAAATTGTCTACAATCTACAAAAAGCATGTTCTGTCTAATAATGAAAATATGGAGAAAATGGATAATTGTTGTTGTCGAGTGCAGGATAAAAAGTAATTCCACACCAGATTAAAGAAACAAGTGCTTACATTCCAGTAAAAATAAATCTTATGAAAACAGTTATGAAGTGACAAATCATTTGTAGCTTAGACTGAATGTAAATATATATATATATATATATATATATATATATATATATATATCTACACACACATACACAGAAATATAGTTTTAAAGTGTGCTATATTTATGGGATAAAGTGCTCAATATCAGAGACAGAGCATATGTAAATATAAAAGTGAACATTGTAGTCAACACTCAGAGGTGACAGGCTGTTTCATGCTAGATGTAAGTGTTAGGCAGCCTGATGATTGCATCTAGCATGAAACAGCCTGTTGCCTGAGTGCTGATTTCAATGTTCACTATATATATATATATATATATATAAAACACGCATACACAGTTGAGCTGGTTCTATCAAACAAACTTAACCATGACAAAAAAAGTACACCATAAATTAATTCAAACAAAGCTTTTTACTTTATTTTTTATTGATTTGGCTAAATATCCAACAGAGTTGATAAATTTGAGAAAAGTCATGATAATTAGACAAAAGGTAATTTTGTACAAGTTATAGTTATGAAACCTATTAAATCTAAGTCAAGTAACTAGTAAATTACAATGAGTAACAGATACAAGATATTTTGGAAAAGGGTACTGAATGTGGGGACTGGGCAAAATTTTTTGTCCTTGGCCCATATGCATATATATGTGCATATGTTAAAATGAGTCACATCCCACCTTATTGGTAAATATACCTGGCACTTTTACCTCAGATCAGTGTATAGTATCTATGCCCTCTGTGAAAAGTGTTACACATAATACAGCCGTCAACTGCCTATCTGTTCATTATCACATGACAAGGTAAAAGAGAAAGTAGAAAAGAAAGAACAAGCTACTGGGGGTGGGGTGGGGGTTGAAAGGAAAAGAATGAGGATGAAAGGCTTGCTGCCTTTAGTTTTTATTACTCCTTTACCCCCTTTGATCTTTTAAAGTAGCTGAAGCCTTAATATTTTCTCTTATGGAGTGTGATGCCCACCTTACATGAGAAGGTAAGTTAGTATTATGGTACTGGCAGATACATATTATAATAGAATATGATTTCACTGCTGAAATTGCTAATTGTTATGCTTGCGGTTTTTTCTTCCATATTTCTCACTTGTAAAACTCTTCTGGCTTTCTTTTTTCCTACCAATCTTTAATGCAATGCCAATCATCATCTTCTGTTTCCTTAAATCTTGTCCATTTTATTGTTCTCAGTTTCTTTCATTCTCAGTAACCCCTTGCAGTTTTTATTGCCTTGCTTGGGGTTAAAGGATTCAAAAAGAAAAAAAAAATATTTATTGAATATTCTTTAACAAGCTGTTTTTTTTTTAAATTTACAAAGCAGTGCCTTTGTCATTTTGTATATCCATCAAGATTTACTTACATAATGAGAAAAACTTAAAAAAAAGAAAAAAAAAAAAGACGTGATATTACATGGCAATCAGACTGATTGCATGAAGAAAGCTTTTTCCTTTTTTTTTTAAGGAGCTGCACAAAAATAAATTCTTTTCAAGACTCATGTATGATTTTATTGTTCCATGTCACCTTTACAATAGATTATTCATATTTCCAAGTCTTGTAATTAAGATGAAAATGTTTTTGGGAAGTTTTATTTTCGAAATTGAACAATTTATTTATATCAAAACAAATATTAAGTGAGATTTAAAAAAGTTTATATTTTAATTGTAAAATGAGAAAGAAGCTATTATTCCCAAAAGAGAAAATGATTTTGACTAATCAGTTACTGCTCTGATAAAAAAAAAAAAAAAAAAACCCTTGTCAAAAATATATAGCAGTAAGTTTTAAAGGCATTTTAGAATTTACATCTCTTGTCAACAAGACCATATTAACAGTAAAATGTCAAGAGAATTAAAATTCAAATAACTTGTTAGCATCCAAACTACATCTACGAAAGCAAATCCAGTCTCAGAGTTAGTTAAGTGTAAAAATGTTAAAACTGAATTTGCTATGAAATGTTCTTTAAAAGTTTCTGCATAATCTTAATAAAAAGATCAAAATGGTGGAGAGGTCTTCAAATGAAGGATCCACAATGATGTTTCATTATAGTGCCCCAAATAATAAAGTGCATGCAGTAAGGAATACTATAGGTATTGAGAAATGCTCATCAATCAACTTGTCCAAGTTTTATCAGCAAATAATTACTATTCAGTCGATATAGTTTGGGATGAGATAAACAGATATATGTCAGCTTAACTCCATACAATCCACAAATAAGTCCAGAGATTTGCAATGTGATTTAATGGAGTCTGTCCAAATAGAGAAATTTTCTCCAACACCAGAAATTTTTGCATCTCTAAATCACAGCTTTAGTTACGTTTCTGACTCATAACATCATTATCAACTTTTAGGAATTAACCTAGAATGATTGTTTTATTAAAGTTTCTTTATAATTCAAGAAACTTTAGTGTAATATAGTGGGTTACTGAATGAAGCATAGAATAAAGACGTTCTTATTGACTCAAGAGAAAATAATTGAGAATCAATATATAAAAACAGCTACAGTTTAAAGTATCACTAGGATGTAGTTGATTTCATAAAGTATATAAAAAGTGAAACAAAGAAATGAAATCTACTTAATGATCTTCCAAAAATTTAAATCAGCTTTTGGCATTATCCATGTAAAGTCTCTTCTTTTCAACAGCTGTTTAAACTGTTGATCTGTTTTTAACATTGTTTTAGATGGCTGATCTCATGCTTTATGCCGTTTCAACAAATCCTCATCTTCTCCAGGATTTCCTTAATCCTTGTCTTGTAATCTTCAGACTAGACCTTCTCTACAGTAACCTACTAATATTAAAAATTTATCCATGCTTATCAATGTATTGTAGGCTCAGCACAGAAAATAAGCCTGACTCGACTCAATTTATATACAGTAACTGGCCCAATTTTTAATATCCTTTCGTCCATCTATTGTCACCAGTAGCTGATGACTATTTGGAAAACTTTCACATTGTCCAGTGTTTTTTGTTTTATTTTAAAGGCTTTCTTTTATCATTACATTCACATTGTTATTCTTTGACAAGTAGCATGAATTGACAATCAAAAACAAGATTACAATGAAATTAGAACTTCTATCTCCTATTCTGGGTAGCCTGTCTTACCAAGGTAGTACCTTACGAATTAAGCTACAATAGTTCAACTATTAGGCATTATCAAATAAGCCAGTGAACTATCAAGTTTTTCTTTTTCTTCTTTGCCACTATGTTGTTTTATTTATTTATTCTCAATTATCAACAAGTATTTCATTTCTGTTGGCTTTTTTAATCAAAACTTTTAGGTTGTCAGCTGTGACTATTAACTAAGCAGCATTGGTCTGCCAAAAAAAAAAAAAAAAAAAAAAAAAAAAAAAAAGAGTAGGTATCAAAAAGACAGTTTTCCTCTCAGCACAGCCATTATTGTAGACTTGCTCAGCAATTTTTATTGTTTTAAAAAGCTATTTTTAGAATTTTAATCAAACCCAAATACATGAAACTGGATGTATACATATTCTATTTATTAGGTTGTTTATTTACAAGAATAATTTTATATTTACAAGATTATAAATATATGCAAATCAAATATAATGCAATAAAGTAATTACTGTGAAAACAATTTTTTTTTTATTTATAATGTCTGGGAACTATACTAATTGGACACATAACGAGTAATTGTGATTATAAATTTTGAAAAAATGCATTTTCCAGATATGATACAATTCCTTCTCAAATTATTATTATTTTTTTTTTTTTTTAAATTTTCCAAACTGTCATTTAGCTATGGTTATAGATTCATCACAAAATAGGCAACGAATGGCAGTTAGTTCGCATATTTTCATAATCTTATAAATATAAAACTATTCTTGTAAATAAACAGGGTTTCATATTTTTGTTGTCAATTCTTGAGAAAATAGAAAATGTATAAATCCAGTTTTATATACTTGGGTTTTATTAAAACTCTCAAAATCACTTTTTAAAGCAAAAAAAAAAAAAAAAAAAAAGGCCAAAGCAGTATACAGTAATAGTGATCTAGAGAAAAACTGGCTTTTTAACACTTTCTTTCCGCCAATTTATGTTAAACTCTGGCAAAATTTCAATTAACATCCACCAGCCATGAGAGCCTGTCTTATAATGATAATGGTTTACTGATTAGGTTATGAGCATTATATACACATGCCTAAATTTAAAACAATGTATATAAAATCTATATTTTTATACTTATTTAAACTGATTAAGTATTAAATCGCTAATGTTGGGGAGAGACACTTTAGGAATTATCTTTTGTTAAAATGGATATTTCCCAGACTCTAATCATTAAAATTAAAGCCACAAGTTTATTGGACATTCTATTAACAACCTTCATTATTTTACGGCTGTAGATACCACATAATTATTATTAGTAAAAAAAAGTTTGTAATTGATATCGTTCAAAAATTTTTTAATATGGTAGTGAAGTGTACATGAGAGGTTGAATACTATTTTGATGTGTTCTATATTTAAAACTATTTTGAAAGAAGAACAACTGCCGTAAGATTTTAATATACATAACGTGTTATGTAGATATTGTGTCTAGAACTATGATTCACATTTGAAATTTTGTTTTGTTTGGACAACTGAACTTCTCTCCTATGTTGGGCAGACCCATTCTTCAGCCATTGTCAAAAAAGAGGAATAACTTATTTCCTCAGAAAATTGCGATAAGAGTAGAACAAAAAGAAAAAAAGTAATTAATATGCCAAAAGAAACAGGCCATTTCAACAATGACAGATAGACAAGTGAAACTGTTATATATATGTATAGAGTACATGTCATGTAACCAGGCAATTCTGATCATCTCATCAATACTGAGTTCTCGATCACCTTTTTTGCTTAGTAAAGCAAGCTACAAGGTGCTGAAATCTACACCAGCTTTATTTATGCACTTGGCTGACAAGCCAATAGATGGTGCGTTATTTTTAATAAGTTTCCTGGATGTCTATTCTCAAGGCTTTCCCTCTTATAGATTATGCTATTGACAAAAGCTAAAGAATGGCTCAAGAACATAAGAGTTCAAGAATTTGGAATGCTTGAAGTGGTTAAAAAGGAGAAAAAAAAATGCAACCATTTGATAGGAGGAGGAAAAAAAAAAAAAGTCAAAATAGGTGATTTGTTTTTCTAACCTCCAATTTTAAGACTAAGGAGATGTGATAAAAAATCTACAGAATTGTATAATCCTGAAAGAACTTATGATTTAACATCACCAGATTAAAAGTTTGAAAAAGATTATGATAAAAGGAAAATCAAAGCCAAATCAACACATTTTTCTAAGAACTAAAATGGGGGGGGAGGTATCTTTGTGAACATGCAATAAGCACAAACCTTTTTGAATTCCTCATAAGCAGCAAACTGGATGGCAGAATATGGAAATATACGCAACATCTGCACACCATTGCCTTTGTAAAGCCCAACAAATCCTTCTTTTTGGATGACATGGTGCAAAGAAGAAAACACACCTGCAGAAATAAATAAAAAAAAGATTTGGAAGGTCAGAGAAGAGAAAAATTTACATTTTCTCATGAAATGTGAAAGAGCATCATTTATAAAACTAGATGGAGTATAACAGCAGAAACTTTCTAAATTAGATAGCAATATATTAAAAAAAATTTTTTTAGTACAAATGTAATGAATAAGCTACTCCTTACTTAATAGGATTCCATTCCAACAACCTGATTGTTAAGTGAGAAGTTGTACCTGACTGCTAATTTCAAGGATATTTACATGTATCCAGTAGCGTGCAGAAGAGGGAGAAGCAGAGGGTGCGAAATCCCCCCCCGTATCCAATCAAAGAGTGAAATAAAAATTTAGTTTATATTTAATTTGAATAAAGTGATTATTTTATTTTTCACCTGTTTTTACATATTTAAAATATCTTCCTTTCTCACTTTTCTCAGTATTAGGTCCTACAGTCACCCCCCCACCCCGACTCTCTGGGGCATACAATCAAGGAGTTGGCCCTGCATGTTGCTGTATATGTCATCTGTTTGTGTCAACTGTCTTCAGGTAATTTTAATGTCACTTTTACAGCCTTTATAACATTTCTATTCCTAAATGCTTTATACAGTTTTTAACAGTAGTCGACTGAACAGGAAATATAATAAACATATTCAAAAAACAGCCTCTAAATTCTGTACATTACTTTAGTTTGTGTGCTGTATATAGAATACAGGTAAATTTTTTAATTTGTTTCTTTCTTTACTTTATTTCTACATTTTATTCATGTAGATTCATTTTGAAAGAAGCAAAAACAAATTTTGATAAAATATCAACACATTGGATTTTTTTTATTTTTATAAAACTTTATAGCTGGTTGTAAGCACCTGGGCGTTTGTTAAACAGGTAACTCATTAAGTAAGGAGTGGCTGTAGTTTTCTTTTAGGCTGTAAAAAAGAAAAAAACTAAATAATACACACAATGCTTTAAATAATCTCCAAAATTAAAAAGTAAATCAATATTACTTGTACCCATGAAAACCAGTTGAAAAGAATAAGTGTAATGTGTTAAAAAAAAATGGATAGGTAACCAATTCCTTTAGAAATTAGATGCCAAGGTTTTATTGCCAGTTCAACGTCAGCATTGATAAAAAGAGGAAATATATTAAGAGAGTCTAAGATTGAGAAGAAGCCGATACTGCAATTACCACATTGTGTTGGAAAACAAACAAAGTCTGGTTGTATTTTGAGACACTTATTTTGAGGCAGCTTGGATTAAACAAAATAGTAATGATGCTTCAGTGCCAAACCATGTTTGATTTCAGAATCAGAATTTGATAAAAGCTTTCTTTAACATACTTCCACTATTTTTCAAGCAGTAACTGCATATGAATTTATTTAATTTCTGATAATAAAAGATCCATTTCACATAGGTGATAAATAAATAAACTTAGAATAATTGATATTCAGTAGTGAAATGAAAAGAATCCTATTTCCTTGTTTTTTAACTGATGTCAAAGTAGGACAACTACTTATTTGATCAGAATGTCTACAGTGTAACATTTCCAGAACTTTATTCACTTGGAAGTGCAAACAAGCACTGCCTTTTATCTAGAATTTTCATGTTAGATTTTAGTTTTAAGAACTGGAAACTAAAATAAAATAGCACTTTAAATTTTCTTTCAAAAATGTATAAATTAAATTGAATTTATTTCAATGCACCTTTTTCTTGTGGAACAAATACAAAAAAACACCAATTCAATATTATCCCCAAATTTCTAATTACAGCTGAAAAGCCTGCAGCTGATTGGATAGGCCAATGAATTTGGAAATTATGGAAGATCTAAATCAGTATTGCCGTATACAGCTTCAGAAGCTGAAAGTAAAATGTGAATAAAGCTTCAAAAGAGATCTACAGTTATCTACCATTACATTAAGACAGCAGAGACAAAAACCTTTTGTGTGTTACAAAATGAACAGTAACAGTTTGTCTGGAGTCTTCCTGCTTAAGACTAAAACAGATTTGCTATTTGAGAGAGAGAGAGAAAAAAAAAAAAAAAATATATAGCACATGATATTTAGTAATAAATGTTCTGGTGTGTATTTATATATGTAGACAAGGAACAATACAAGACAAATCGGAATATGCAAATAATGGAGTGTCAAAGAAGAAGAAAAAGTGTTTCTTTAAAAATGAAGATTGCTACTTATCTGTTCATTAAAAAAAAAAAAAAAAAAAAAAACTTACTTCCATAATGGTAATTTTCAATTTACTATGAGAAACGTGACCCATACTTTCATTTTGCTTTCAAGCCTGCCTCTTTCCTTTTTCTACTGGGAGGTGATATCCTTTCAGCTTTAAGCTAAACTGCTTCTTGTCAATCACTTTTGAGAGAAACAAACTGGATCTTTATGCTTTAGTTCAAAACTGTAACACCAATGCTTGTGAAAATACGGTTGCCAGGGTTACCAAATAGAAACCCAGGATACTCTGTACAAATTTAAACGATTTCTAACTTGCATATACATACATAAATTGAAGTAAAAACAATATTACTGAATTTGATAAACTTACATCTTAAAAATAATATTAGAAATCATTTGAATTTAAATGTTATGTATTTCTAATTAGAAAATTTAGAAATTGCAGAAAAATGGAAAAATACATTCTTTTGCCTCAAATTCACAGTTGCCACAAGGTGTTGGATGAAGTTCGAACATGATTTCACAGTTGGATAATCCCTGAATGTTCAAGCTTCCAGCGAGGCTCTACAGAGTGTCCAATCCAAACATATCCAATGAGTTTTTTCTATCAAAGGATCACCACGCAGTTTCTTTATTCTGTTTTTACCTTATGGGAAGATATTTGTAACATTTCACTATAATGCATATTCTTCATATTTGAAGAATAGTGTCTTAACTACTTTAAAGTATTGTCTGATCTTGATAGTGGAAGAGGCAGTAACAGGAATTATCTTTCTAAAAAGAAATCTATACAAGGCAAAATCTATTTCACATGGTTTTAGGTGATTCAGAAAGTTAACTGAATAGAAAAATTACTTACCCAAGTGACGGTAGTGACGATTGTGTGCTTGAAGTAAAATTTTAACTCTGTCTAATGGAGCAACTGTAGTTTTAGCACAACAACCAGCAATTCCTATATTAAAAAAAAAAAAAAGAGGATATTATTGGCACACTCATTTATTCAAATTTAAATAATGAAACATGAAACTCCTCAGATAAAAATGGTAAAACTTGCAGATGTAAAGATGTGGTTCTTAATTTACTAAGGCAATAAAAAAATTGGTAAAGATCTATTTAAACTAAAGTGTGTATTTTTGTAGGGAAATATTTTATGTGCTTTGAATGGCTATATCCTTGATTTCTTTGCAGAAGTTTTTTTTTTTAGGGGTGCAATTTACAAGGTAAGTAGGATGTTATATAATTAGCAAGTCTATTTTATTAAATCATTCATAATTTTAAGGTATGGAAGGTTAAAAAAAAAAAAACCCAAAAAAGAGCATTTTTTTTCTTGCAACAAGGAACTAAGTGTTACAAAAACACCAATTTATTAATTACTGAATATACTCGTGTATCATTTTGAGGACCTAATTTTGAAGCTAATTTTTTTGTTCACATTATACACAAGAAATAAAATTAATTATATATATATATATATATATATATATATATATATATGGTTAGCTCTGGCTACAGCATTGACCAAATTATATATCAATTTGCTGTAGTCAAATGTACAGCTGTATTTAGAATAAACATGATTTTGATAAAACTGATGTTTTACTTAACTGTATCCAATAATAATGCATGTAATATTCACATATTAGTTTCATATTATAACATATAAACATAGACAATGGAAAAGATGTATATTTGCTATGTTTATAAGATGTTTAGCCGTTTCTTGTTCAGTTGTTTACAGCTGTACGGGTTTACACAATGAATATAGCATTACTAATGACACTATCATTCTCTTTTACTTTTTGAACTTAACTAGAAGATAGGATAAAGAGATAGAGGAAAAGAGGTTAGTCTATTGTAATTTGGTTTCTCAAAAACGGAAGTTGCATGATGAAATCATTTTCTATAAGTGAAAATTTGGGGTGTGCCACAATATGCAAGATCGAGTGTTACACGAGTATATACAGTAAGTGGAGAAGGAGGGGGGGAGGAAAACTTTTATAGGTTTTCATACTTTAAATTACACACATTTGCATAAAGACACAAAATCAGTGTAGTTTAGCATTGTAAATCAATCATTCTACTTTAGAGTCATGTTGTCCCTTGTTTCCACTTTAAAACATTTTCTCAAATATGATTTTTTCCAAAGAAATAAAGGTCATTTTTATAAAGAGCATTATTAATTGGATTGAAAAGAAAAAAAAAAAAACCCAAAAAACATACTGATAGAAAAAATATTTTTAGACTAATGAAATGTTTTGTCAAAAAAGCTAACATATTTGCTTGATTGATTAATTCATTTTCTATGGCTTATCAGCCCTTTGCAGGTTATTTAAAGCAAGGAAATATTTCTTAGATTGTAGTGGGGGGGGATATAATGATTTTAGTGACAAGTCTTACTAATTAATCCATAGCTGGAGAAGAGTATTTGCACAAAAGTGAATATAATGAACCTAGTTGAATTTGGGAACTAGACCCTCCAATTAACAATGCTGAGCCATTATCCATTACACCATCCATACATACAAGCTTACAGCAACTGGTATTCCCAAGCAGCCACCAGTCTAAGCATTAACAAGGTTTGACATTGCTTAACTTTGGTCATCATAAGGGAACCTGTGTTTCAATGTATCATATTTGCAAGATTGTTATTGCAAACAAAAAACAGAATTTTGAAATAAATTTTTTCTATGAAGCCATTTACAGTCCCCAGTCTTTTTCATTTACTGCGCCAAATATTATCCATTTCTTGGCACTGCCTCTCCTAAAAGCAGAGCTAACGACCTTTATTTTTAAATAGCCTGTGTTATTGCTGATAAATGAATGCTTCTCTGCACTGAAGATAAAATAATGGCTCAGGAGACGAAACTGATGAAGAAACAGTTGCCGTTAAATTATACAGTCCTTATGAACTGCTGCACAAAAAAAAAAAAAAAACACCTTTGTCTGCAAAGGCAAGAAAATCCTGTTAGGAAAATAATTTTACAAAGCTTATATAAGCAAACTGCACACTATTTTAAACCTAGCATCTGTGCTTTGTAATCACGCTTAGCAGCTTCTTATCCTCACCTTCATCTCGCTGACTGATGTTAATTGGCATGGTATCAAGCCAAAAATCCCAATTTCTCACTCACTCAGTGTTACCATTTTTATTAGAGGAGGTAATTTGCAAAAAAACTTTGCCGAAGAATGAACGTTAATGATGTCAAGGGAGAAACTGTCCTTATGACACTTTTTTTTTTTTGGTCACGAAGGTCCAAGATTGCCTTGTAGTCTTTTGGAGTCACATTGTACCTAGTATACAACTTCCACACACTGGTTTCAGACTTTTTCATACATCTGACATTGTTCTGCCATTTCGTTCTTACAGTAATATGCGCACATTGGAAACAAAGATGCAGACCCCCATCCCTCTACAAAAGGTCTTGAACTCCTTGCTGCAGAATGCCACCACACAGAAAAATATGATAGATCATTGTTGGTAAGTATTAGCTAATGGACAATGCAGTAGTAGGTTATATTCATTGCCAATCCCTGACAGATGCCATCCATTGCCAATTTTCCTCTCCCCTAATGAATTGGTTTCTCGTCTATTGTTGGACATTATTTACATGTTCTTATTACTGATTTTACTGCTCTAAATGTTGAAAGACAATTTTGTTATGAAATATGAGGCATGTCCCATGCCTGGATATTAACTATATTGGTGGATAGCAATTAATTTAGCTAGAATCCAGTTTGTTCACAGGAAGTGGCATAGACAATTGACAGAAGTTTAGCATCAATCAAATGCTGTAGCACATTGCTTCATATAGCAGCTAAATTTTGGTTTGATTTAGTCAATGTCACATTCATGAACAACCTGAACTAAGTGTCTTATATCTTGCTACCAGCCTTAATGCATATCCTTGCTTGGCTATTCAGAGCATCTGAGATCCAATTGCATAGATCAATCTCCACCGGGTTGAGCTGTCCAGTTTTATACATGAATGACACCTCTTCCAGTACAATCCCGCTTTTCCAACGAACTTCCATCACTAAAGATATAGCATTGACAAATTTCTTGCCCATCCATGCAACAGTCTCCGCAGGCAGGATTGCCTTGTTTCACGATTGCCATGTATGTCTCCTATATTAATTGTTTCAGGGGATCCATCAGTTACATCATCTCCGCATTTTGTCATTGCATTCACTTCATTATTCCAGTTGCCAAATGAAGCCATTTATGCACTGGGAGGTGCCCTACAAGTTTCCCCAGAGAAAGAGAAAATGTTCCACTGCACAATGATGCCAGGCACATCTGAAACTACACTTCCCAGTTTCTGCATCACAAATGTCCAAGAGCGACACGTGGATGCCATCTTGCAAAAATGTCCAAGAGCAACACATGGATGTCATCTTCCAGTCATTTCAGAGTTATGTCAACTTTCACAGGTGTCATCAAAATGACATCTTTGCTGATATTCTCTGTGTATACTGAAGTCACTTTCATGACTGACTCCTCCTGATGACTTCCTTATTTGGTGCCACATTCAGTTCAAAGCCTGTTTTATTCAAACAGTATCTCTTCCTTTTGATTATCTGTTATGGATATAGTGATTCAGGAATTTGCACATGAAAGTCGGCTGCTCTGAAATCCAGTACGACTAAATTAGATTCTTGCTGACTCTACATTCTCTGCTTTGCTTATAGAAGATTTTGTCATTCTCATCTCACATTGGGAGCTTCTGCTTGTTTGCATCCCCAACTTTGACCGACACCTTATTCTATGTCTGTTTCCATGAAGCAGTCCACTTGAGCTGCAGATGATCAAATCCAGTGTATAAGTTGGGTTTGTCAATATAGAGTGCTACACAGGTGAGTGCTGCTTCTTCAAACTACATGGTTGATGGCATCCATATTGCACAAACAAGAACCATCTTTATGACACTGATCTGAAGCAGTGTGTCAAAATCTAGCAGCTCTTGTACCACCAGGACACTGAGCTCAGATGAATTCTCAGTATCAATAGACATTTTGACCACAGTGAATAAACAATATTCTCATGTTATTTATAATAAGCACTTGGAAATGTTTCTTAGTCCCAAACCAGCACAGATTCGTATTTATTATTGAATAGGAGCACTCTAAGAGTCAAGCAGGGTGTTGATATGTACTTTAATGACAGATAACACATCATTCACAGCTTGCCTGGGGAAGAGACTGGCATTGATATTTTGTTCTGTCTCTTTATCCTCTTGAACTAGCTCTATTGCCCTAATAATAGATGATTGTGAATGGGAATAAACTATCTCACTGGTTCAAACTATCTCTTGTCGTATGATTTAGATATTGCATTTGGAGGTGATGTTGCCATGTGGATCCACATTAGTGATCATTTTGAACTGGTTGCACAGTTGCTATGAGTGGTCACTCCATTGCCATCTCAGCTTGCATGATTGCCTGGGCTCGAGCGAGTAACTAGTTGATGGTTAATGGTGTCCATTCTGGAAGAGGTACAAAGAAACTGTTTCATGTGGCCTAGCAACCCTGCCAAGTATATGTTGATGGATTCACCTGGACAGACACTGCATTACAAATTGTTCATAGGACAAAAACAAATCTGTTGTCAAGGTAGTGTGTAAAACATCCTATACCCAATTGAGAGAGAGAGAGAGAGAGAGAGAAATCTGCTTTACCCAGCACATTAGCTCCACTTTTTCAAACCACTCAAGTGTACATGGATTGAATACTGAGCTGTCAAACTGACTGACATAACCACACAGTAATGAGTTGTAGAACCCAATTACCCTCTCTCACTCAAGGTCACTGTTTTTATTAGGTGAAGTGATTTGCATATGTGCTAGTCTAATACATGCAAATCAAACCCTGTCACTCAGATATGCATTCTCACTTGGCAAAAATTAAAAGCAACACACAGCTGCTGCTGACAGAGTCGATTGCCACTTGGTTCTT